TACCTTTGCATGTGTGTCTGTCTGTCCGTGTGTCTGTCAGTGTCAAATTTCCAAAGTTTCAAAGTTTCTCAGCAAATACTCATCCCAGATGCTTGAAATTTTAATACAATCTTCTCTGAGGCATGCCATACAATGGGATACAATTTTTTTTCAAATAAAAATTCCAAATTCCTGTTTGTCTGTGGGTGTGTCCATTTCATACATAACAAATTATCTCACAGTTTTCTCATCAACTATTCATAGCATATTATTGAAATTTCAGTACACTCTTTGTCGAGGCATGCCATATGGTGGCATAATTTTGATTTGAATATGATGTCAACTTCCTGTTTGTCTGTCTGTTTGATACATAACAAATTTTCGTCTCAGTTTTCTCAGCAACTACTCATCACAGATGCTTGAAATTTTAGTGCACTCTTTGAGATGAGACGTGCTATACAGTAGGATTCATTTTGATGTGAATCTGATGTCAACTTCATATTTTTCTGTGCATTTCCTCATAATTGAAGTTGTGTATATTAACATGATATTGTTTATTCACATCAGAGTGGGGTATTACTAGTGAGCATTGACTCACAGATTTCTTATGTTAATTACATATTTGGTATTAAAGTAGAGCAGACACATCAAGTTTAGAAAAGTAAAAAATAATTATATATACATTGTAATACATCAATACTGTTGGTATATAAAGGGTTATTTTCACCATGTGTTATTTTTGCCTTTTCACACTTACAAAAACTTTTGTCCCAGTTATATTTCACCAAGTCATAAATTTTGTTAAAGAAATTAAAAATATTTTGTATTTTGTGAATTTGCCCTGTTTTACATTCACAAAAATGGGGATGGCGAAAGGGGTGGAAATAAAATGGGAGAGAAAATTTTTCATGTATATTGTATAGATATTAGGGGGAAGAGTCTCTGTAAGTGTTAAGTGTTGTTAATTATAATATTGTAAATATTTTATTTGAATTTAAAATGAAATTCAGATGAATATTGTTTAGATATTTAAGCTAGGTACATGTAGCTGTAATTTGCAAAGTGAAGTGTGATTTCTTCCTTTTTAAAAATGCATATCAATTAATTGAAAATGCTAATAAATTTTTAGAATTTGATGAGTTATTTTTGTTGATGTTTTTGTTTGTCAACTTACCTGAGCCGAAGGCTCAAGTGAAGTTTTCAATTTCTAATTGAAATTTTTCAATTGTCTGTCGTTGTTGCAATCTAGAGGTACTGTGAGCAATGAGCTTATTGAGGTTCATGCCAGAGGTCAAATTTGGAACAACTCTAGACTTATTCATTTAAACAAATATACAATGAATTTGCAGGCGACGATTTGATTGGTTGATAGAATTTGAACTCTGGCGTGACCTTCAATGGCAGGGGATGACAAATCCCATTGCCCGACGCCCGGGGCTAGTGAATTTTAGGGATGGGCAAGTGAAATTTTATCAACCACTTGCCCGTGGGCAAGTGACTTAATCAATTATGAAAAATAAAATCAATATGTATGCCAATATTCAACTCAGTATTTGTCTTTCTCTTTTTTGAAATATTTATAAAATTCAGTATAAGTTAATGGTAGGGCAGGCAAAAATTCAGGTGGGGCAAGTAAATTTTGACCATGTACTTGCCCTTGGGCAAGTGCCTTAAAAATCTATTTGTCAGTCCCTGTATGGGATGCTGTTAGATATTAATGAAGTGAGTATGCGAGGGGATCTAACATCTAATGTTAATTAGATTGTCGTTGTTGTTGTTGGCATTGGCATCATTGTCGGTAAGTTTTCACATGTTCATCTTCTTCTCAAGAACCAGATTTGCCACAAAGTATCCTTGGGTGAAGAAGGTTCAAGTTAGTTCAAATTAGGTGCCTTTCCATCCTCCATGAGGAGATAATAATGTAATAGCAAGTAATAATGGTATTGAAAAATCCTCTAAAGAACGAATGGGACAGGAAAGAAACTCATGTGGATTCATTGTAAGGTAGTGATTCATAAAATATTTCAGCTCATGTTCATTAAGAGTTCAAAATTTGAAGAGATTAGAGTTAAGATATTCTAAAATTTTGTAATGGCAGAAATGGTGGATGTGTAGTATAAATGATGGAATAAGAGCAACTAGTGAGCTAGATGTAGTCAATTTCAATTTAACTCAAGTATTCAAGATTATGAACTTAAAACATACAGACTGGGATGAAACTTTCAAAATAAAGTAAAATTTGTAAATAAAAAAAAAAGAAATCATAGTGTTTAGGTTCTTATATATATACAAAGTTGAAATTTAAGTTAAGTGAAAATGAATGGAAAAAAACCCTTTATAAATAGAAACAAAAATACTGAAAAATTTCATGAGGTTCTAGAGTTTCACATTTACAAATATGTTATTCCCCTTTGGGGGGTCAACCGACGTAAGGCACTGTTTTCCCTCTATAACCTAACCGACTTTATGGGACAGTATAATGGGAATTAAATTGGTATGATCATGACATTCATGTTAATTATGTTTTTCATATTGCCCCAAACTCTGGCAATACGGGCACAGATGGTAATTGACCGATATAGTTTGGTTAAAAATATTAAAAGGTACCGGGTAACTTGCAAAGGACAGAGTGGGGAAAAATGAGTGTTAAGCCAACAACGGATGGGAGATAACTCTTAGGAATGTGAAATTAGTAGAATCGGTTTAAATAGAGTAGTAAGTGTGTAAAAGCTTGTTAGAAAGGATTGGTAGAGCTGTAAACAGGTAAAAAAAAATATAAATGCAGTAATATATTTTATATTGTATTTTAATAAAATGTGTACTATTAATACATTAAAGCTGCTGGGTGTGGTTGCTAGCCCATTAAATGTGTTGATATTTCTGACTTGGTGATTAAAAATAAAACAGGAGGGGTTTATTTTTATCGGGATCGAAATACCAAAATATTGGTGCCTATTTATAGATTATTAAAATATTACACTACAGATCATAAAGAAGAATGTAAGCATTAAATGTATAAATGCAAGCCTATTAAATTCTAATGATTAAAATTCAACAAATTAAGAAAGATGATATGGTAGTGAGGTATTCTGAATGTTTATATTGCTATGACGTCATATAGCATTAGTTTAGACCACGCAGGGGTGAGGGGAAGATTCAAGATGTCAAACAAATATTTCATTTATTTTTACATATTTATGTTTGGATTGTATGTTGAAGAGTGATGTTGTAGGGAGGATAAAATAATGAAAATAAAAACTAAGGGTTTAAAAGAGCATTTTATAAATAAAGGAGGGGGTATTACATATATCTAGTATCACTCACTGAAAATACAGAAAAACGTGATTCAAATATTCAAAATGAATTTGGAATTAATTGAAGGGGATTGTAGGCATTTAATAATTGTCTATGTAGATCTAGAGTAGCTGGAGTATGAAGGCATTGGAGTGTACATATATATGTTATGAGGAGGCACTGCCCGTCCCCCTCCCCCTTCCACCAAGATACAGTGCTATAGTGTTAGAAAATACATTTGGAGATTGTAAAAAAAAAAATTATGAACTAACCTTTTCATCCATAATTTTAAATGTAGAAAAATCAGTTGGAAAGGTCAATGGATTTAAAAGGTACTCAAAACAGGAAGTTTGGGTCCATAGAAAGGGGTCCCAAATTAACCCTTAAACACAACGTCATTGGATATAATTAGTGTACTAGTGAAAAGAAGCTAATAATAGACCGTGGTCCATTTTTATTATTTGGTATAAAACAGCTAATAATGTACCGCAAGGGACTGTGCGGTCTAAAGTCTGTCTTTATGAGTGTTATATGCATGCAAATAATACTAATAAGTTTGTTATAGTATCAGCTAATAAGTATCGGATCGGGTGGACAAACAGTGTCCGCAGGATTGTAATGGCAATCAATGTCATATCGAGGACGGGCATTGCTACAGCTGCAAAGATGGCTGGACGGGAAATAAATGTCAATCACGTAAGGCATTTAAATACCTAGATAAAATTACTGTTTTTTTTAATTGGAAGGGGGGAGGGCTTACAATCTACAACGTCACAAGCCACTGTTGTTTGAGCTCATTCCTTTACCTCACATTTGAATTTCTTTGAATTTTGTCAACACACTTTTTTTCGTACAATTTTGATGTGATCCAATTTTAATCAGTAAAACTTTACTACATAATCAGTACACATGTGACTCTTTTGTAATGTTTTTTTTTAACAAAAGGTGTTGCCGTTGTTACATATAGTTTACTTCAAGTCCACTTCACCAAAAATTCAGATTAAAAAAAACGCTAAAACACATAGAGTTTCAGTCTGAGTTGAATTCAGTCTGGAACTAAAATACATAAATCCAGGTATCGGTTGTGCCAGCATCGTCTCAAGCCACGGTCCAGAGTCCGCATACAGCTCTCTCCAGAATGGGAGAGGATCGTACATTTTGGCCGTGGTTTGCGACGACGTGGTGCCAGCTACTGATGAATAAATGGAAATCTTTCAAACTACTGTCCCCTTGTCCAGTATTTTGATCTGTTACAACTTTTTTCACATGTACATATTACTGTAATGTAAAACTTTAAAAGAATGTCTCTGACAATTAAAAACCATCAGAGCTACGTCTAAATCAGAGACTTTTTTACTCTTCTTGTTTAAGTTCAAATATTGTGGCTTTGTCTTTGAAGAAGTCAGCAAATAAATGGGGGGAAACTATACTGTTCCTAATGGAATGATTTTGAATAATTTCAAAAGATTCCACATAAATTGATCGCAGATCGATCTATCTATACAATCGTTTACTCTTTTTATTTCTTGTTGCCATGTTACACATGTACAATGCAGCGTGTCCCTTTGGGAAATACGGATCTGGTTGTGATGAGAGTTGTATAGGACACTGTCTGAGAAATGCCACGTGTAACCCATTCACCGGTCTGTGTGAGGAGGGGTGTGCCCCGGGATGGAGAGAACCTTGTAATATACGTAAGTTTAACATCTTTAAAAAGTTGCACGATAATCAAACGCCTACTATTTTCATAGTTTAAATTTTAAAGAGGATAGGGTTACGAGATCCAATAAAACTTATTTGCAAGTTTCTTCCAGATAAAACCGTTGCACTAAAAGTGTTTTATTTTACATTTGAAGCCTGTGCCCCAGAATTGTACGGTGAAAACTGCTCTAAACCCTGTAGTAAGAATTGCTTGAATGGTAAATGTAATGCTAAAGATGGTACGTGCAGCAGCGGTTGTAAGTCAGGATACATGAATAGCATGTGTAACCAAGGTAAGCTCGCATGAACAAAACTGTAACCAGGGTAATCTCGCCTGTAGAGGACGGGTAAACAAGGTAAGCGCGCCTGTTGAGAACATGTAACCAGGGTAAGCTCGTCTGTAGAGAGCGATAAACAAGGTAAACTTGCCTAAAGAGAACATGTAACCAGGGTGAGCTTGCCTGTAGAGAACGTGTGACCAAGGTAAGCTTGCATAAACATGAACTAGGGTGAGCTTGCTTGAATAGAACATGTAACCAAGATAAGCTTACCTGTAGAGAACGTGTAACCAGGGTGAGCTTGCCAGAATAGAACATGTAACCAAGGTAAGCTTGTCTGTAGAGAACCTGTTACCAGGGTAAGCTCTCCTGTAGAGAACCTGTAACCAGGGTGAGCTCTCCTGTAGAGAACCTGTAACCAGGGTAAGCTTGCCGGAATAGAACATGTTAAACTGCCAAACCATTTATAAATTCATTATCTTGGCTTGCAAACGCATAATTTTTTACTTTGACTAGGTTAAAATAGAATTCATGTGAAAAAAGTAGACTGTTGAGGGGAGGGGGTATTGCTATTGTTCCCCACAGAGGTTTCCACAAAGAATTTACAGAATAACAACAATTACATGCATGTTGTTCTGCATGCAACATATTAAGAAAGTGAAACATTTAACAAAATTTGCTCAGAACAATAGACTAACTGAATGCATGTGCAATAATTGTTCGTGTTTGAAAGCAAATTTGTGCTTTATGAAAACTTGAATGAATTTTAAGCATGAGTCCAATTAAATAATTTGATTTTGACTGTTTGTTCTAGTTTGTTCTTCTGGGTTTTATGGAAGAGATTGTTTACAAAACTGCAGTGGACATTGCTACGGAAATAAAACATGTGACCCAGTAGATGGTACCTGTAAAATTTGTGCAGAGGAATACATTGGGAAGAAATGTGACAAATTAAAAAGTAATTGGAAAACTTTTCAAAAAAAAAAAATCTTCATTTATGCAGCTCACGTAATTGCAAGTTGATTTTTATATTACATATAATAGGAAGAAATTCATTCAAAATTGACATCTCATTCCAAACTTATCAAAACGAAATATAGGAATAAAATTCATCAAATATATAGAGGTATGTACAAATTCTGTACAGAAGCATGCTTTCTTAAGAAAAGACCAAAAGCAAAACGCAATTGTATTGTTTGTAGTGAACTTGTCTATAAAGCATTTCGGTCAAGATCCTAAAATGGGGTAAAAATAACAGTGATCGATCTCAAGAAGTCTACAAGCAATAGAATATTGAACGGTGCATAAAATACTGACCTATAAACTACAACTTGTCAAATATTATAGAAAACATAGTTAACGATTTATTCATCCCAGTCTTAATGTCATCATTTTTTTTGTTATAGAAAGAGAACATCGACTGCGGAATTCAGACCATGTACCCCTGGCTGTGATAGTGGGTGTTCCTACATCAGTTATAGCACTAGTAGCCATAGCTGTCACATGCACTTGTTACAGGTAATACACGTAAAATTCTTAACTTAGCAGATCAATCAATTATTTTATTTCAGCTGTACTTAATAATTATATTTTGTTTATTTTTATAACACAGACGAAGATCACTCAAGAGTCTTGAGAATTCGCAGGCCACAAGGAGTGACGAAAACTTGAAAGAGTCCGAGTTTACAGATGACTCACATCAGTACGAGACATTAAATTTTTCTCAAAAGCATATATAACATTCATCTTTAAGATCATCACAAGTTACAATATTTTCGTTAAGTTTTAAAGATGTAGTGCTTTCAGAAAATATATATCAATACAAATAAAGTACATGTTCAATTAAAAAACTAAAAGGAATCATAATGTATCACTTCACAATGTATTTTTTGTTATCACAATAACCTTAACCCTACGTAATAACTAACGAGAGTAAAGGTAACGGTTTTTATACAAGGAAGAAATGACTATGCCATTTCTATTTGTTATTTTTAAAGTGACACGATGTACATGTACTTTATATAAATTTTACTTAATGCAAATGTATGTAGATACGAATGTTGTACACTACTTAAGTTCTCACTTGGTTTGTATGTAAGTTGATATTTATGCTGTACTGAATTTTACATATAGTATACTCTGAGTCGTTTTAATTCCACGGTGTCAAAATTTCAAGATATCTCAAAAAGTACTGATTGCGATGGTTTTAATTTCACGAAGCAAGAAATCAATTCAAATCTAAGCATTTCAACATTTTTAAAAATCAATAAAACCATTCACGGTGGAATTAATTTCCTGGAAAAATGATAAATCCAAACATAGTGAAATAAAAACCATCATGATTATTTGCCAATTTACAGTATATGTATGTATTAAACTATAAAAGCATGTTGTCTACTTTATGTGTCAATTAAAAACTGACAACAGAACTTTTCTGGTTGTAAAAATCAGGATGGCTGTAGAAAGAAATAGAACACTTGGTTTGCCTCTTAGGTAAATGTATTTGTCCTCCATGACGAGAACTGAAAATGACATAAAATGCTTCTGTACAACACTCTAAACATGGCCGACAGCTGGAGCCATAAATAAAATCAGAGTTTTCTTATGATGTACATCTACACAAGAGCACAACAAGCGTCCTGTTATGTTCCAAACTGCTCACTTTTTATTTCTGTTAAATGTGTCTAAAAGTCTGCAGTTCATACAGTAAAGTCCCATATCAGCACCACTACTCTGAAAATTGAGAAATAGCAATACATTAGTTAAAGATAAATATTATCACTCTTGCTAAATCTTACCACTAAACTGAATGTGCACATTTCTATAAGATGAACTTTGCATAAATTACTTTTAATTAATCTTCTTCAAGAACTTTAACATAGAGAAGCACATGGAAGTCAATTTGAAAAATCTATGACTTGCATTTGTTTTAATTTTAAATTTAAATATGCTAAAATTAGATCCCATTTCTAGTGCTTTTTTTCCCAAAACATCAGTTCAAATATCATTAAAATATCAATTCAATTAGAAATTTACAATATTTCTTGAATGTAGCTAAAAATATAGATTTGAGTGAATAGTCATTTGCTGCAGTTGATCATACATACCTCAATCCCCGGCGTCATCATCTTCCTCTCCGTCACTGTCTCCCTCTTCCTCCCTTCCCCCATCTCCACCAGTGTTCCTCTTCTTCTTGTCCTGTTAAACAAAGAATAGTTTCATTTGTGCATTACAAAAGATACTTTTATCCACAGTCTCCTCTAATTTTACATTTGCCTACTTTTCCATTAGAGCCTTAAAATACGGGATAAATAAAGTTGAATGTGATTATGACGTCATAATAGATCTAGCACCAAAAAGTTAGTCTAAATATATTTACTAAATCTTGAACTTAAGGGTCCTCCACACCATGTGACTTGTGACGTATATAGAGAAAAAATAATTTTACTTCTGGTTTATCTAGTTTTATGGATGAACGATTTGGCCTAGCACCGTTTGTAAACAATGAACACATGGTATGGTCTTGGAATGAGCGATGGACAAAGATGTGCGTTTTTTTTAAATAAAAGAACAACAGACGTCTTGGATTATGTTACATAATAATTTGGAAATAACAGATACCTGGTATGACGAGAAACGTTTAGGTTATATATACTTTCAGGCTAATCAACCGAGTCTGTTTTCACTTTGATAGTTGAAATTTCGGCACACTAATTTGTGCGTTTCAATAATACATTATCTCATTGTGTGTTTATAAATACTGATAAAATAGTGTTTGTTTCAAGTTTTCCTCTCTTATATCTGTCCAGTTCAGTGGCCAGTAATTACTAAATATAGTATGGTGACGTATGCGGAGACTAGCCAAAGTTTTTGAGTCCCGAGCAACAGGAAAGATAACTCCAAAAAGGAACTTTGATACCAAAGATTTTGAAAATTTTTTTCTACATCATTGCATTTAATTTTAATTCAATTTTAAGATGTAATCTAATTTATTAATGTTTCTTCTCTACAAAAGGAGTCCTTATTGATTTATCTCGAGATGTATTTTAGACAAAATGAGTTTTATCTACTTTTTATAAATAAAATAAATTTCTGTAAAAAATATGTTGATCAATAAAATTAAGTTTTTATGATTATTCTGTGAGCTTAAAGTTAAACAAAAGGGTAAAACAAAATTTGTTGTGCTAGGTATGAAAACGCCTTGGGAAAAAATTCTTGAAACAAATAAAATAATTATTTTAAAAAATCAGAATAAATTACATTTTAATCCCTGGATAGTTTTTAAAGCTTGATATGCTTGTTAAAAGTAATGCTTAATAATACGAGAACATAAGCTGTGGGTGTGTGGAGGACCCTTAATTCATGATCACAGAGAAAAAATGTCGAACTTGGGCATTACAAAACCTTTTATCAAGGAAGTCCTCTGATTTTAAAACTGCAAAATTCTTGCAACAAGTTCATTCAATATAACACTAAGATGATATGATCTAGTACTGATCAATTCTAAATGCCTCTTCCACTGGTATTTTATCATTCTCTCAGAACAGAAACCCGACTTGTATACACTTACCCTGGGTCCCCCGTAGCCTTTCCCGTGTCTCCTTTTCCTGTTTGCCTTAAAGCGATTGATACTGTCCGCTCTTTCTTTAAAAATTTTCCTCCAATGATCCATTTCTTCATCTCCTAAAATTGTCATTTAATTTTTTCACATGAAACTTTTTAGTGGGCAATTGACCTATTTTACATTACATCTGTTAAGAAGGTAAACTTGCTGATCTTGCACAAAGTCCTTAGAACAAAATTCCTCCACTATGTTGCGGGGTTTTCTGAATTTTATCTTTTCATATTTATATATTTTGGTTAGCTACTTGTCTGCTAAAATATTAATGGTTGTAAAAATTGTACATCTGTAATCAATGAGAATATCATTTGTTGTTACATATTCACACTAACAATTACATAGAATTTTCTGCAAGCTGTATAAGAACAGTACCTTCCAGAATTCTCCCTTCTAAAACAAGGTTTGAAATCTCAAGTTTGCCATCGTGGTCTGCCATTGCTTTCTCTAGTGTTGTTTTTGCAGTGTTGGCTTCTGTAAATCTGACCCAGGCCTAGACAAAAAAAGTTTTATGATACACAGTACTGCATACAGGTAATGAAAAGGGAGAAGAAGTTCCAAAACAAGTTTTTTTTTTATAAAAATTATCTTTGTAAACTGGCTGTACTGATACGTACAAGTTTAAGATTTGAAATAAAAAATTGCTTGAAATGAAATGGCATGTTTAAATGCCTTTCAATGTTTTTTCAAAGTCCCTTATCATAAATGGACTACATGTATTACCATCAGTAATATTCAAGATGAAGTGTTGGATCTAGCTTTTGTGGTAGATGTACACTATATTTTACAAAGTAAACACACAACAATGTCCATATATTTTATACTCTTCTATTTTCTCTTATAGACTATGATGAGTACCTGGTTGTCGCCTTTCTCAAAGTCTACCCAGGCAACAGGTGTGTAGTCTGTGAAGTAAGTTTTGATATCCTCCCTGGTCAGTTCCTCCCCGGTAATACCTGTCAGGTGTAACACGGCACCAGGTGTGATAGAACCAGCTAGTTTCTGTCAAGTTTGTAAAAAATGCTTTAGTTTTCAAATGACAGAATAGAGATATTTATATCTAAGAAATAAAGTTCACATTTTTGTGAATGTTGAAGGATAATTTCCACATTTGAGAAATATTGCATGAAATATAAAACTGAGGCATTTTATATATTTCAAACAACGTTTTGAGACCAAATCGGCTGGACAAAGGTCATTCCTGAACTTTGATTGGAAAGGATGGAGGATAATTTTTTTTTCTTATTTTAGACTAATAAATTTGGTATCATTTAGAAAACCAAAAACAAAAATATTTTTCGGAGAATAATTTCAGATAAAAAAATGATATGGGACAGAGTGTTAGTTGGAAAAAAAACGCTAACCTTTGTTTCTTCTTCCTCCCTTCTCTGTTGATCTCTGAAAAAATATTAAATTATTGTTAAAATTTATTAACATATCATTTGTCCTGCAAGCGATGATCTATTGGATCAGTTTAAATATCACTAAAAACTTTTATGTCAATTAAGAAAATTGCTTTTAATCAATATGAATGCAAAAACTTTTCAGAGATGTTTTCATAAATATAATAAGAAATATGCTTACTCTTTCTTTTTACGTAACTGTTCCAATTTTTTCTGCTTTTTCTCATCCTCTCGTTTTTGAAAATATTCTTGTCTAAAATTATAGAGGCACAACAATCAGGCATGAAATATTTCAAGAAAAACTATATGATAAATCTGTGGAAAATTCTTTTATCCTTCACTTATCTTAAATATTCTTAAATCCAGGATTCAAAAACATTTTCACATAAATGTTAAGGCAAGACAGACAATTTTCTGACAATGCTGCAAAAAAAAAACACACTACAGTTGGAGAACCTTATAACTTACTTTGACTTTTTGATAAGGACTGCATCTTCATACTTAGATTCAGGTTCTGCTAGGAACTTCTCTGTATCCTCTTTTTTATGAAATGTGATAAAAACCGATCCCTGTAAATCAGTACAATATCATTAAATCAAACAAATTAATCAGTAAAAATATACTGTTTACAACATACAGGTATACTCCAGGGAGATGTCAAATCTTCCATCCTATAATCCCTGTTTTATCAAATGATAAAAAAATTGTTTAATCTAAAGGAACTTTTACAAAAGTTAACATTAAACTAAAGGCACTGTGATTACTGAGCTCACAAAATAATACCCCTGACTGCCATGTAAAATGGTTGTGGTATGGACAGGATGACAGACACACCGTCTCTTTTTAAGCCTCAGTGGGGGTGTAACAATAATTTTATCACTCTAAAAATTATGCTCTCACTTTTTATACATATGAAGGTGTTGATTATCTCGTACAATTTTAATACTGTATACAGGGAAATTTTCGCCCCCATGTTATTTTCGCCCCTTTTGCCCTTATCTCATTCGGGCGAATTTAAAACGGGGCGAATTCAAAAAATTAAGTATAATTTCTTAAACAAAACTATGATTGGGCGAATTTAAAATGGAGCAAATTTGTTTTACAGTGTAAAAGGGCGAAAATAACACGGGGCGAAAATAACCCTATATACAGTATATTGATATTAATATATTAATAAATATATAAACCTAAACCAACTTTAAATTTCTTCTCCTGGTCTCTTCTCATGTATACTGTATCCACTGGTGCTATCTTCTCAAAGTAAGCAATTAATGTGTCCAGTGACACATTCAATGGAAAGCCTTTCTGTAATGAGATTTGCATCACAGATAATTTCAAACTCTGAAGTTTACACATAAACATATTAAAACAAACTTGTACATTGTATGATTTGTATTTCATATGGCAGTTAACATCACATCAATATTATATTCTACATAACTTTTGATGCTAATTACTAGTAACCTTTAATTAACAAGTGATATAATAGGTAGAATCGGATACTGGTACATACAACATAAGCAGATCTGTCGTTAAAATCGTTCCTTCTTTCCTCTGTGTTCTCTGGTATAGGAATGTCAGGATTACGACGGATGAACACATTGTCCTTGCTAACCTGAAATGGAGCCAAAAAAGTCTACCTTATTTCATTGATTTGCACAAGAATTTTACAAACAACTGTAAATTAAGTAACATATTTATTTGCAAGAGGTATAATTTTCAAGCTGTGAGGAAAAATTGGGAATGTGGTGATTTGTTTCACAGCAAGAAATACATTTAAGATAATGGTTACTGGTAAAATTTCTTCATTACCTGAATAAGTCCTGAGTCAGATTTCCTCAATGCTGTGGCGATGATTTTGTGATTGGTGGTAAGTTGTTTCAGTCGATTGAATTTTGTCATTGTGGCTAAAGATACCCCTAATATTCGTCAAGGAAACTAACATCTCTACTCTATTTAATGATTCATATGAACTGACATATTCCAATGTAGGCCTTTCAAAATGTGCCAGTACCCTATTCTTTTACTCACACTAAATCATAATTCTTCTGATCCAAATATTCATTGGAGAACAATTTTACAACATATTTAAGTAAAATTTGCTCATGTTGCTACCATCGGGAACCTCTTATTTTTGAAGAAGTACCACCTGTTTCTATATAATCCTTCTGAAAGCCTTGCTGATGATGTATGTCCTTTACTGTATCTAAATGTCTAACTATGATTCAATAGTACTTGCTATCCTTTCAATTTAAATATATGTAAACCTATTCAATAGGAATACTAATCTGTGTTCTAAAATTTTGCACTTTTTTCTCAATTGATATATAAGATATTTATCAAATCCTTCTTATGTATAGCAATTGTTTTCAAGATTTTGTTTTCTTGGTTTAAATATTTAACTACTATCCTAAAGAATTATTTGTTAAGTTAAAAAGGATACACCCATCTTCTAATTTCATCTCATCCTGAAGAAATTTGTCCCTAGGTAGATTTATATCTCCAAAGTAGTACTTGAAAAAAAAACAACAAGTGTATATGATTGTCAGAAACCTCAGTAGTATTTTATTGAGTTCAGAGTTAACAATATTATAAAACCCTTCGCTTTTGCTATTATATAATATGCATAAATAAAAATGATTGACTCTAGAGATCTCAGCAACATATGTTATACTACAGCTCAATCAAGAATATGATGTAAAATCACATATTTTCGTGGGGTCAAATTTTCGTGGTTTGAGTAAAAACTCTTGGTTGGTTGGGATTTGAATTCGTGGACAAGAATTGGTAAGTAGTTATCAGGGCTCGACATTAACTTTTTTTCCTACTTGTCCATTCGGACAAGTCACCAAGATATATACTTGTCCGAACTTCAACTTCACTTGTCCGAAAATTTTTCAATGAATATCTTGTTATGTCAATTACTTAAAAAATTAAAAAATTAAAAGTGCTTGATTTACAAGTGTTGTTATTGATAAATAAGACAAACACATATAAAACAAAATCTTATCTAGATTTCCTGTCCTGACAACAGCATAAATGTTCGCAAGTGAATCTGTAAAATCAATCAAGTATGTTTTAAACTCACAAACGTCATAAGATCCACGCCATGCAATAGTATGGCTGCAATCAATGAACATCGATCCCGATCAAGTGTGAACTTACATAGCGATTCATATCGGGATCGAAATT